CTTACTCTGCTGCTAAGCTCCCACCTGTGTTTGAAAGATATAGGATTTCACTGTAATCTCCTGATTTTAGCACGTGCTAGAAAACTATAAAGAACAACAAAGGAATCCTACAAGCATATCTTATCATTGCTATGAGGAAATCCAGAGAAATTTTCTAATGTTCACTGCTTTAGCTTTTGAAGTGCTAGTCTCTCCTACTATGCTGCTCAAATAGGAAGGTGAAAAAAGCATGCAATTTGTGATAAACCACATTACATTCTAGGTACAATCGCAATTTTTAAAACTCCTTTTCACAGGTGAGGAAAAACAGGCCCAAAGAATACAAAGCATTTTTGCCCAATATCAAAGAGTTGGTGACTATCAGGGTTACAGTTTGACCCAGATTTCCATTTATTGTTTGTTTGTTTCTCTATATATTTTGGTTCTTCATTTCTTGGTGTGTCATTTTGAAGCAGATAGAACACAACAATGTTAGGGCAAGATATGCAGCTCATCTTTCTCTGTGCTTGAAGGTGTGATGAATGCTGGAAATCTATCGAAAAAAAAAGTGAGAGTGATCCTAGCATGGGTCTCATTGGTAGAGCATTCAGAATTCTTGGGAAACTGATGGAAAGTGTCATACCCTAAGCCTGCAAGGAGCATGTGTAATCTAGACATAAAGACACTTATTCTCTAGCTCTGCTACTGCATGCCATCCCAGCACCCATAGACATGGGAAGGTTTAGTGCATACTCAATCTCTGCAAAATACTGGGATCCTCCATGATGTCAAGAACTTACGCCACTTTCCCCCCCCCCCACTTCCTGTTACCATTCTCTAATCCATTTTATCCTTAGAACAAATAAAGAACATTCTCATCCTGCCAGTCCCCTCCCCACTTCCCAAACCCAAATCCAGAATGTGTCCTTGACTGCTCTCTTTCTCTTCCTCAACACAACCAACTGGAGTTTCAGTTCTCTCCATTCTCCCTTTACATCTTGCCAGTTGTCAACTCTTCTGTATCTCACCAATACCAACTAGTCTCACAGAAACAACTTTCTTGATTCAATTACTTTAAGAAGCCTCTTACCAACAGCCCAGTTCTTGATCTCTGTATTGCACTCAAATACACCCTCTACATTACTAGCAAGTGATATTCTAAAGCACAAATATAATCAAACACTGCATGTCATCTCACATAAAGCATTCTCAAAAGCCCTCAATGTTACCATTATTTTAAATTATCTAGCTCTTGCTAGTCTTTTCCAGTTAGAAATAAAACCATCTAAATCTTTAAGCTTTTTTTTTTTCAGTTTGGGCCTGGTCCCTCATTCCCAGGTATGACTATTACCTCTAATTTACTCTCTGTCATCCAGCTCTATTCAATTACTTTTGCTGCAGAGCCTCAAAGGTAAAAATGCTCACATCTTTTACCCAGTCTTGCTGCTTGCACTGTCTGCAATCTACCTGACCTTCTATTTCTGGACATCCTGTACAACCCAGCTCAGACTCAACACCACCCTCAGAAACTCTTTCCCTAACAAAACTATGTCACTTCACATACATTAAGAAACCTATTAGCCATGACACAAATGAACAAAAAGTGCAACAAACAAACAAACAATAAAGAAGCACTTGTGATGTAGTGATAAATTAGTGATAAATTGGAGCTATCAGTTATTGTGGGTAGGACTGTAAAATGGGGAGCCCACTCTGAAGACAATTAACATAGGAGTTAGCTATTCTGCTTCTGGGCCAAGGTCCCAAATAACTGAAAGCAGAGATGTGAACAGATATTCACACATTCATGCACTTAACAACATTGCTAACAGCTGGAAGAGAAAGCAACTCAAAGGTGCATGCAAGGATACATGGATAAATAAACTCAGGCATATACATACACTACTACATAATTTAGCTTTACACAGGAAGGGAATACCATCACATTCTATAATGTGAATGAACTTTGCCTTATGCTAAATAAAGCAAGCTCATCAGAAAAACAAAACACTGTATTTTTCTACAAGTATGCAGTATATGATCAAATTCATGGAGACAGAAAGCATCGAGACTCTTACAAGTTCCTACTCACAAGTCTGTACTAGACTGAAGATAAAATCTGAAGGAGGGATCTGTGCCTCGGATAAAAAGCCTGTAAGTGTCCCTGGGTTTGTTTTTCTACTCTACAAATGGCAACTACATGTTTAACACCATGAAACTTAACAGATTCTCCTGCCTCAAATTTTTTTAAGTTTTATCTATTTTTCTAGAAAAGTCAGATTTACAGATTGAAGGAGAGACAGAGATAAAGATCCTCCATCCACTGATTCACTCCCCAAGCAGCCACAATGGCCAGAACTGAACCGATCCAAAGCCAGGATCTTCTTCGAGGTCTCTCATGTGGGGGCAGGGTCCCAAGACGTTGGACCTTCCTACACTGCTTTCCCAGACTCAAGCAGGGAGGGAGCTGGAAGGGAAGTGGAGCAACCAGGATACAAGTTAGCACCCATACAAAATCCCGGCCCGTGCAAGCAAGGACTTTAGCCACTAGGCTACCTTACCTAAAGTTTGAGCAAAGACTTTTCCACACTTGGTCATAAGGAGAAAACACATTAGTCTCCATATATATTACATCCCCTCTCCACCTCAACCTTTCATCCCGCTCCCACCATCCTTTCCTTGAAACACCCATGGCTTCAAACTGTGTTTTAACTACCAGGTCACCTGAGTGATATTCTCTTTCATATTTTCTTATATCCTCAAGACTCCTCTCTATCCCTACCTACCTGAATTATTCATATATACATATATATAATTACATGTATGTGTGTGCATGAATACATTTGTATATGTATGTGTGTATATACACACAATGTATATACATACACATAAACCAAGATCAAACTAGATATTAAAATATTAATATCAGACTTAAGACCAGGTAACAAAAGGCTTTGCTAGAACAAAAAGTACTCTTCATTTTTGCAAAATATGGAATTTTCTCTCTGCTGGCAGCTGTTAATTAGTTGTCATATAGGGGTGAGATTCATGGGATAATACAAGAGATACTATAAGAAGTTGTTCATTTATTTGGTCCCTACAGTTAGCTCTAAGAAACCTTAAGCAAACACTTCATGTGGAGTGTCTCACATTTGTGTGGCAACATCTAATTCCTTTTATTAACTGTTTATAATATCCACACAGTGAATTTACAAAACACAAATTGGACCTCATCCGCAAATTTCTTCCCTGGCTCTCCTTGGGTAAAGGATCCAATAAACTTCACTTGTCATTGAAACTTCTGACTAGGTCCCTATCTTACCTCTGGCACCACTCCCTGATCCTGTTTCATATCCGGGCACCACTCATTAAGACCAGCCCTCACGCCCTCACATTCCTGCGAGCATGGGCTGAATCCTTAAAAGAGAAGGATCTTGTTTCATCCACTTCTACAGATTTGATTGGAAAGTCTATCCACTGCCCCAACCCAAGATTCCACAGAATGGGCACTAGTAGTATTGTGGGTGAAGATTCTTTTTTATTACTGTGGCAGGGTGTATTATTCCCTGTGGAATGTTCACAACATGTCTGGCCTATACTCTATAGATGCCATGAGAATCTTTCTCTCTTCAACTGTGATGACAAAAATGTCCATAGATGTGGCCAAATCTCAGTTGGAAGAAAACACTGCTCCAACTGCAAGCAGAAGACATGATCCCAAGGTAAGTAGGACACTTATTTCCTAGTGAATATACAGTAGAGATCAACTCTAGTTGGAGTATCCTTATTATAATTACATTACACTAACCTACATCCTTCTTGTACTACATTGCAAAGTCCTGGGCAGTCATCACCAAATACTTTCAATTTTGTCTGCTCTCACGAGTGACCACCTACCATACTGTTTATTTATCATATGTACTAAACCAATAAAAAATGAATACATGCTGAACAAACAGCAGGAACATAAAAAAAAATCAAAATTCTAGGATTCCAAATTTCTTAAATGACCTATATTCTATGAAATAACTCAATCAGCCAGGAAATAATACACTTCAACATCAAAAGAACAGCAAGCCACGTAATGACATTCTGGTGTTTGGGTTTGGACTATAACAACTAACACCATTCCCAAAGCACAATCTTATATTCCTTCTTTAAAATCCATTCCTTCTTTCCAGCATGGTCATGAACATAAAGTTGAACTGCTCTGCTTTGCAGTACTTGGCTGTCCCATAGTAGAACTGTTCAATGATAGGAGATGTTAATTAATGACACTATAAAATAGAATTACAATTAACTGTTAATTTAGGTTTTAAAGTGACAAACTTTAAAGGCTAAAATAGTCTTTGATCTTTAAAAGGCTTCTTAATGAGGGCAGTATTCTTTAAGTACATCATTAGTTTAAATGTGTAAACTGGGTCTAGAGACTGCCAGAGTTAAGAAAATATCCATTCCAATATGTTAAATGTTTATGACTTGGGACAGGGACAATTAATCGCTAATCAATGGGCCAAATCCTAGGCGAGGTCAGGTTCTGAAACAGGGAGATGACAACAGCAAATTGGATTTGGAGCATTTTGATGCAATCTACAAAGTCCGAGGCAAGCACAGAGGAAAAGAATAGTAAGAAGGCCAAACCAGTAGAAAACTGAGATATTACTCATTTAGTTAACAGTGGTTTTCAATTGTGCCCTTTGCTTAGCCTAATGAGTCATAATTTTTAGAATTATACTTACATATCTGTAGTTCAGTTACTTAAACATATAATTCAGGAAATAAAATAGTAAAACTCAGCATAACTTAAAAGGTAATAACACTTAGCTGGGAGCTAAGATTAGCAATATTCATAATATAATGTTCAAATGTGATTTTGATCCATCAGACAAGACTTAGCTTTCGCTAAACACTAAAGCGAATCCAATTTATTATTTAAGTCAATATCTGCCACTGCAGGTAGAAGCAACAAGCTGTCCCTGTTTTCTAAATGTTCTCTGTTTGGCATCAACAACTTCACTAACCTTTAATTCAGGGGAAAGGTTCCAGAGACAGAGTTGACCCTCTCGGCTTCCCGTCACAACCATTTGCTGGTTATCGGTCATCATGATGGCAGTGATGCTGTGGGGAGGTGCTTTCTTGCCCCAGAGCGCCACTGCCTGCAGAGAAGTCCTCATGTTGGGAGAATCCTGGACACAAACAAAAGGGAAGATGTGAACACACCATCTTTCTTACATCTGGGTGAACTGGCCATGTTAGAAAGTGAATTCACTGTCCATTATGGGAGAAGGTAGTTGTGGGATGCTAACGATACCAAGTCTACCAGCAAACCATCCAGAAAGAGTGACCTTTCCTTCAGTTCTTGACAATTGGTGCCAAGGAAAAGAACAGCAACAATATATTCCCTCCACACACCAATCTTACTACGGTTTGATCCCAGCCTACCCCAAAGTCCAGCTAATCCTCTCAAGAATCACATATTGTGACCTCTCTGCATAACATATCATGACCTCAGCTTTGTACATTCTCTCTCTCCAGAAATGTCACTCATTTAATTAACCAACAACTGAAACATAAATATTTTCTGTGAAATAATGTTTCCTACTATTTATATCTTCACTTACAAATGACTATTCTCACTTCTGCCATATGCACATTGGCCTATACTATCCTTAATAATTTTTATTTAATAGCTTGTTTAAATATTTTTTTTATCTAAAACAGTGAAAAAGAGAGACAAGAAATAGATCTTCCACCTACTGATTCACCTCCCAAATGGCTGCAAATGCCAGGACAGGGACAGGCTGAAGCCATGGACCTTTAACTCCACTTAGATCTTCAAAATGGATGGTAGGTGCCAAGCACCTGGGCCATCTCCCACAGCCTCCCCAGGACAGGTGTGTTAGTTGGAGGTAAATCTGAAGCAGAGCAGCCAGAACTTCCTCTGATGTTTCAATGTGAGATGCTGCTGTCCCAAGTAGTGGTTTACCTTACCGCACCAAAATCAGGCCTTTACCTGACACACATTTGGTTTTTGGTATCTTCCTAAATATTAACCTCGAGAAATCGTTGCAAACATTAGTTGTAAGGTTAAAATGAATAAATTAATATAAAATCCATGCCTGTGTTCTATGGAAAGTATCACACAATGACGCTTGCATTACATTTTGTAAACAGTGAGCTCATACTTGACATGATGGCCTAGTAGCTAAATTCTCACCTTGCAAGTGCTGAGATCTTACATGGGCACTGGTTTGCATCCCAGCTGCTCCACCCAGCTCCCTGCTTATGGCCTGGAAAAGCAGTATTGACTGGCCCAAAGCCTTGGGACACTGCAACAGTCTTGGAGACCCAGAAGAAACTCTTGGCCCCTGGCTTTGGCTTGACTGAGCTCTGGCTGTTGCCCCCATTTGGGGAGTGAACCAATGAGGGGAGATCTTTCTTTCTGTCTTTCCTCTCTGTAAATCTGATCTGCCAGTCCATAAAAATAAATAAGTCTTTAAAAAAAATGTGAGCAAGCAAATAAAAACCCAGAGTTCTCCCCAAATAGACAGTTTTTTGAGATATATGTAGTTTGGGGAAGAACTGAATGGTATATTGTAGGAGGACATTGTGAGCCTGGAAGGCCAGCAAGCACAGGTTTGCAGTTCATTGGACAGTATTTGCATGGCAATAACCAAATGGCTACCTTTGGTATAAACAGCATGTAAATGAGAACACCTAGCGCGATATACAAGACAAAAGGAATTCCAATCTAGAGTGCGAAAACAGTTGATGGTTTTGTTTATGAGCTTGATACTTCCTCCGCTACCCAATATGGACTCTCAGTGTATAAAGTCTGATGCCTCTAATAAACTTCAGCTTTGACCATCAGTCAGGGTCCACGCGTGTTATTATCGGCTCCTTGCACCAAGTCCATCGCTGCGGGACAGCGACAGTATATATTTTAACTCATTGAAATGTTAACTAGAGAAGAAAGGACTGTAGTATCAAATATAATTTCTAATTTGCTTTGAAAAAGCAAAAAGAAAGGAAGCAAGGAATAGAGGAAAGGAGAAGGGAAACTGTTCTGCAGGATTTCTGTAAGTGAAGCGTCCAAAATATTCTATGTGTTATATATGACACAAAATTGTGCATATTTACACATATAAATACACAAATAAGTATCTAAATATGGCTATGCACAAATTCAAAATGGGATGGAAGTGTTTAACTGACAGACTTTCCCTTATCTCTATTTCTCCCTCTGTCCCTCTATTCTGTTTTTCAAGTAAATAAATTTTTCCAAGGATTCTTAAAATTTTTATTAGAAAGGCCAATTTATAGAGAGAAGAAGGGGGGGGGGGGAGAAGGTCTTCCATCTGCTGGTTCACTCCCCAAATGGCCCTAATGGCAAGAATTGAGGAACTGAGGCAAGCCTAAGTCAGGAGCCAGGCACCAAAAGCCTCCTCCAGGTCCCTCACATGGATGCAGAGACCCAAACCTTTGGACCATCCTTTACTACTTTCCCAGGCAACAAGCAGGGAACTGGATGAGAAGTGAAGCAGCTGGGACACAAATCGATGCCCATGGGTAATCAGGGCACTTGTAAGGACAGGATTAGCCAATTGAGCCATTGCACCATGCCCAATAAATAAACCTTCATAGAAAATATTTGTGGGTCAATGATGCCAGTTGGAGGTTTGTCAGGATCACTACAAATCTATGAAATATTTTAAATCATAGATGCTCAGGTAATCTTAAGAATGTAGAATAATTACAACTGAGGCACTGAGTGTGGACATGTACACTAAAAATAATTTGGAATATATACATCTGCAGGTACAATTTTATTTGCAATGGTGTCAAACTGGAAACACGCCAAATTAACAAATGATTGGGTAAACAAATTGTGGTACATCCACAATAAGTTAATGTTCCACGGTTGGAGGCAGGTGGGGAAGAATAGTCTATTGATCCACACAACATGAATACTGTGTTCTTTTCAAATAAATAGATACTAAAAACAACATCTCTAAGAAACAAAATCCTCCAATGAAAGCAAAAACTCCCCAAATGGTAGAATCCTCTCACTTCCTGGCTATCGGTGAGGACAAAGCAAGAGGGCTGTCGGGCAGCCAATAGATTGAGGAGGGTATCCGGATGGGAAAACATGTAAAGGCATGGTCAAAGCCAAGGAGGGTGAGTAGACTGCCAAAGCAGAAAAATACAGGTGTTTATCCCAATGGTGAAGATGCTGGGTAAGACTTCCTTGTACTAGATGAGAGTACTTCTGTACAATACCTGGCTCCAACTTTCTGCTAATGTAGGCCTTAAGAAACAATGGTGATGGTTTGAATAATTGGGTTTCTACCACCCATGTGTAAGACCGAGATGAGTTTCTACCTTCCAACTTCAGCCACCCAAACCTTGCCTATTGCAGGCATGAAATATCAGATTGAAGATCTTTCTCCATTTCCTCCTTATTTTCCCTCCTTCATTGTTACCTTACTCACTGTCATTGTCTCTCACACTCAAACAGATGAAAATAAAACTTTTTAAAAGGTTAAAGACTGAGAAACTACTCAGTTAAGAGACAAGAGAAATGAGAACAATACATGCAGTATTTGCATCAATACTGGATTCCCTAGCCATAACTGACACTTTTGAGATAACTGGCCTAGGGGATTGAACGGTAGTGACAAACCAATTATAATGTTCTAATTTGGATAGATTTATTTTTTAAAGGAAATTCACCCTAAGATATTCTTCAAAGGAGGGTCTACAGACTAGCAACTTATCCAAATTTTCATGAAGAGTTGTCAGTCCCTGTGTGGTAGCCTAGTCCTCGCCTCGCATGCACCGGGATCCCATATGGTCACCGGTTTGTATCCTGGCTGCTCCACTTCCCTTCCAGCTCCTTACTTGTAGCCTGGCAAACCAGTAAAGAACCGCCCAAAGCCTTGGAACACTGCACCCATGTGGGAGACCTGGAGCAGCCTCCTGGCTCCTGGTTTTGGATCAGTTTAGTTCTGGCCATTGCAAGCTGCTTGGGGAGTGAATCAGTGGATGGAAGATGTTGATCTTGGTCTTCCCTTCTTTTTGTAAATCTGACTTTCCTATAAAAATAAATAAAGCTTTTTCTTTTAAGTTATATTTACCATATATATTATTTATTTGTAAGTTTGCGATGCCAGTCTAGAAAATTTTTAGCCATTATCCTATTCACATATTTTCAAAGACTGGCTTAAAAATATAACATTTGTGGCCCAGCAGGGTCAGGCTAATTCTTCACAACTGCTGCCATGTTCACGTAGGGGCACTGGTTCAAGTCCCAGCTGTTCCACTTCCAATCCAGCTCCCTACTATTGGTCTGGGAAAGTGCAGCAAAAGGCCATATATATATATTTGAGAGTCAAGAACCCAGATAATGGGGCTGACATTGCGACTTAGAAGGATGAATCACTGTTTACAACAACAGCATCCCTAATGAGCACTGGTTCCAATTCAGCCTGCTACTCTTCTGGTCCAGTTCTCTGCTTACATGCCTGAAAAGGCAGCAGACACTGCCCTAGTTTGGGGGGGTTCCTGGCTTCAGCCAGAACCTGCCTTGGATATTGAAACCATTTGGAACGTGAACCAGTGAAAGGAAAATCAATTGTTGTGTCTGTACGTCCTCTTTCTTTCTCTCCCTCAACTTCTTTCCTTCTCTTTATAACTGTGCATTTCAAATAAACAAACCTGAAAGAATACTTTAAAAAAAATCACGAATAAGCTTTAAAGAGGATTTCAATGGATGGACATCAAAACACATATGACAAAACCTATAGTGTAACTAATGCAAAGCATGAAAAGAATAAAATAGCCTTTTAAAAGAACAGCAAGTATGATCATAGCACTTTTTGCAATAGCAAAATGCTTTGGAAAAAAATCATCAAAATGCTGAAGAGTGAGTGTCAACATATGGCTTTATACTTCATAATTACTCAAAATGGGAGAAATGAAAAGACATTTCTCCAATAAATAAACCCCAAAAGAATGCTACATTCACAGACTTTGCTGAAGGAATTATAGATAAATGTAATATACTACATTAAGTGTAAAATAATTAAAATAATCACGGGAAACAGAAAAAGGCAAATAATTCACATCCAAAAATATTAGAAATTACAATAAATTAACTTGATATATAAAGTAA